CTCTCTCTCTCTCTCTCTCTCTCTCTCTCTCTCTCTCTCTCTCTCTCGCTCTCTCTCTCGCTCTCTCTCGCGTTGCGTCACCGATGTATGGAAACGCGCGTAGAAATACGAAAGTATTCATAGCGGAAGCGTACCGTTTAGCACGTGGACGGACACCATCGTGACTGCTGCTACGTTCGCCAGAGCGCAGCTATAGTTCCCGCTGTCCTTTTTATTCGCATTAGCGATGTAGAGCCTAGACACCGCACCGGCTGCACCCATGTCCGTCTTGACGCTAGAACAGAAAGCAGAATGCTCCGTCTGAGCCTTGACAACGGTATCGTTTATTGCACACATTTCGCGAAATAAAGAACAAACATTCTTTTGGAATTTTTTCGACGCGGTTTTTCGAGGGAGAAATATAGCGAAATATAGTGAAATGTAAACGAAGTATATAACGAAACAAAAAACTGGTGCTTTTTTTAGAATTTTTTCGAAACGGTTTTATACGAGAAAGAAATATAACGAGCGATGGAATTTGCAAAAAGATGATCAAAAAAAAATATATGCAAAGCTGAACGCAATCTTTTTTTATCTTTACATTTCATTTAATTAATTAAATTCTTACTTCGTATATTAAATTATATTCACACATAATTTGGCAGCGTTGAAAAGTAATGTTACAGCTGATGACAGACGACAATAAATTAATGGCGATAGCACGTGGCAATAACAATAGCCTTGAAGAGCTTTCGAAAGAAGGAACATGAAACCGAGGGCAGAGTTTATATTCAGAAATTTATCATCTTTCTCTTTGTGCGGACGAAAGACTTTTTCTTTTACACAACGCCGCAACACTGGGTAGTAAACAGATTCGCTCCGCAGTTCGCAACCACAGTACAGACAAACAAAAAATAACCACCCTCTCCATGTAACCCCTAAAAAATTATACGACGCAAATCTCTCCCCGTAGAAAAAACTTATCTGAAACGTATATAAAAACGTATCCCATAAAGTTATATGTACGCTGTGAAATATAATTTACGCCTCAGATCTATTTATTGCTTTGAGAATATTCATATGCATGATAAATAAAAATAATTAAAGAGAGATCAGACTTGTGTGGATAGCACGGGCGCACAGTGTATATAAATGTAAATACAGTTTAAAATATAAGTTTAATTGGTAAATATTAAAATAAGCGTGCTGATTTAATGTATAAATATCCGAGTTGGTTAATTTATAGACAAGCAATTAGTTTTTCCTGTCCTTGCTCAAAATAGCTTACAGTGGATTTAACGAGTTTTGCAACTACAAGCCTCGAATATAATCATTCCCGAGAAACTTTCGAGGAATCAGAAACTCGTTAAAGATCCGCGGGGGAAATATTCAAGAGGCAAAACTTATGCGGGTAACGAATCAGTCGAAACCTTCATACCTCGAGACAGGCTTTATTACTACTTCGATCCGTAGGAAGATAGACAAACTTTTCGTAGTAAATGAAAAAAATTGCCGGTCTACATTTTTCTTTACGGTGGCGCCGTGATATTTAAACCTGTTTACAAGAGCAAAAAGTAGGATAAAAAGTTAGCTTATAACAGTTAGGACCACTCACGTCTCTGGCGAATTAAGCTGATGAAATAGGGCATTCAAGGGAAGAATAAGAGAAAGGCGGAGAAAGGCAAAGAGGATGTTCCGCGAGCGAAGATGGAAGAAAGGCGTAAATCAAGTAGTTCGCCCTCCAGCCAGCTGGCCTTGACAGATCGGGTACTCCTCCCAAGCTTTCTTACCGCCGATCCCGGGCAAAAAAGAAAGAGAATGGAGAACGGCGCGACGCGGCGTATACGTTGCATACGCCCACGCGGTAATGCCGTTCGTATTAATTTCACATGGCGTTATCTTGTACGAATTACATCCGAGATAGTGCTTGCATAACATATCGCGCAAAAATTAAACGAAATTCACTTGTTGCGAGCGTGAAAGTTTGAAGAATTTCCTATTCCCGGGCTCAAAGTATGTTATGTCGGAGAAAAATTGGATCCTCGGAAGGTACTAAAGGCGAAGGAAAACTGCCGCGCCGCGATGTAAAAAACGAGCTGTCTCTAGTTTGAATTTTTGAATGTTTAACGATGCGTGATGGTTGCTTTAGACATACTACGTATCACGCAACATCCGTTTCTCGTAGAAAGATCTCGTAAAGAAAATAGGAGTGACGAAAGTAACGTGTGCAAGTAAGAACTACACGTATAGATATTGCGTCTACGTAGCGTACAGAAAGAATCGGAGCGCGGGATGCTAAGAAAACAGACATGCCGATGATGCCGGAAAAGGTAGAAGAGAAGAATGCGGTACAAACAAAGGAAACGTTAGGTTGCTTTAAGAATTCATCCGAATGGTCCCGGGCACCGCAAGACATCCTCCTTGTTCCTTCCTGCCCTCACCGACAGCCACATCGTGCTTCATCATTCCGCAAAACTGTTGCGGCAAGGTCCTTTGAGAGTAGCATGTCGAGTGCTTTCCCAAGAATGTAACGAGCATTACTATTAAGAAACGTTAAAAGCACTTGTTGCCACATCATTGTCGTTACCGTTAAAACCGTGCCGCGTTGCAGCTTTTTCAACTTAAGCATGTATGCTCAAAGTCCGATAATATGCACTCTATATGCAATTTCTTTAAAGGTTAAAGGGGTCTTTAATGCTTATATACATTGGCAATCCTGATCTTTTTTAATTAAAAAATATATTGCTGAAAGAGAGAACGAAAGAAAGACATAAAGAAAGGGCAAGGTAGAAATATATTCTACGCAAACATTTTACCGAGAGAAAAGAATGCATTCCGACAGTTAGCGAGTGGAATGTCCAGGGCGATTCGTGTGCTGCATGCACAAGCGGTCGCTTTGCCCATCAGAAGGCCAATGCAGAAACTCGCGAAACATTGATCCAGCCATTCTACCACGACCAAAATTTTCCAACGATTGGCATCCGGGGACAGATCACATGCCATTTGCCCGTTGCACGACCACCCTCTCGCGCGCGGGGATAGACATCCGTCACGCCACTTGCGTATCGCGCAGCTATTGTATGCGGTCGTATAGGGTCGTAAACACTTGTTTTATTATATTTCATTTAACCGGAAATGTGTTTTCGAATTTGTCCCCGATATCTGTTGACACATCGCTGTTCAGTTCGCGTCCAACGAAAACGTCAATGAGTCCGCTGCTCGCACACGGCAACAGTCACATTTGGGGACGGAAAGGGTTAAATCAGTGACGTGGGAGATTAAATATGTACCGCGCGAAAAAATCGACGGCACGCTCTTCCCGTGAATTTTTTGAATTTTTACGCGTCCTGCGTTCGGACTTTACTTGTTATGCGAAAAAATAAAATTGAATGGTATTTCTCTGTATACCTAAACCCGCATAGCTTCTCTATATACTCGAAAGAATTTAATTTCGTGCATTGTTCTTAGCTCGCCCGTGTTGCACGGAATATCTGGGGATAGGAAGTATTCGTGAACAAGAAATCCCTTTGAAGATATGTGCCCTCAGATATTCAATTATTACTTAGCGCTTAATGAACGAATCGCCGGTAGAATCGCTCGTCTTCCACCAACACGTCGTTCAACACGTTTTAAATCTTACAAGACTAAATGAAAAAATTATTAAATTACTCATACGTTTTATCATTGCTGGCATATCTCATTTAAATTTCAAGAAGCAATTAATGTGTAATTTTTTTTCGACGGGACAAATCAACGAGCAAAGTCTTATTCAAGCACAATATAATCCATTTTCAAGTCGATGTAACATTTTGTATCGTATATTTTTAGTGCGCACACTCGCAAGATAAGCCATCAGCTTATCGCAATACCGAACCATTCCGGTGGAAAACCATTTCGGTTTATACTGTCTTCCTCTCTTTCCCTTTCGCCGGACATGGGTTTTTTTCCACCATATACCGTGGAATTTAATTCGTGCATAGAGCGCAAAATTTATCCTCAAATTCTTCTATGCGCGACTCGCGAGCTCCACCTCCTTCGCGTTCGACCTAGAAATTTTTTTCCGCTTACGGATCCGCAGTGAATTTCACCGGCAGTCGAGTAGGTAGAGAAATTTAAGAGCTCCCAGTATATTTTGTTTCTCTCGCTGATTATTCTTTTCTCTTCTCCTTTTTGCAACGCGTTGCGTGTGGAACGATACGCGTGCGATGCTCGCGCGTTCGTACCGTTACGTTACATCTCTTAATGTCAGAAGCAGTGGTAACGGCGTGGCTTTACGAAGATCGTAAAAGAGTTGTGGCGCGAAATTTACCCACTAGAATGCACAACGAGCTAGAAAAAAAACAGCTTGGAATATACTTTCGCGAGTCATTGCGCAAGAGTAGGCGCTATTGTACACGCCACGATTCCACTCGATAAATCAACGAATGATTTTTGTTTCCCGGCAATTATTTTATCCGTGAAAGAATCTCACACAGAAGATACAGAGACTTCTTATATTCGACAAGAGACTTATTGCCACGAAATTATAGATCATATTTACTCGATAGAGGGATAAAAGGAGCAGCGTCCGCTTGATCTTTGCACGCTCAGCCTGCACCTTCAAACTGAATTCATTATATGGACGAGGTATCTCCTACCATTCTTCTTCCATTCTTCATGTTAAGTAATAAGTACTCTTTTCTTCAATGCCTTTTAACGTAGAAAAGAGCTCCGAGAACCAACAGATCCGGGGCAATTTTATCAAAGTTCGAGCTCAAAAGATTTTTATCTTTGCACTTGTTTCATCCGGGATACCTTATTACATATATTTATAAATTTCCAGTTCCGAGATTAGCCTGTTGTAATACGTTAGACGGCATCGCTAATGTTTTCTCGAGCGGTCTCTGGTTGCGCGCAAAAATTTCCGTGCCAAGTGATATTTTTCTCGTTTTTATAATTGATTGATTAATGTGTCATAAAAAGAAAAATACTTAACAAGAAAAAAACTTATATATTCAATTGTATTTCAAAGTCATCTTTTAATATTTTCGCGTTATTAGAAAAATTAATTGATTAAAAATTAAACGTTTTGTGACTTCGTAAAGTATCGATTTTTCTTCATGATTTTTGCATAAGCGAAAACAATCGTTTATAGCGGTCACATCATTCCCGCACTTTTCCTCGTAAAAAATAGGTCGCTCGGTGGACTTCTTAATGGTTAGAAATATAAGCGCGCGGTCTGTAGATCTCGAGCGAGGAACCTCGCGTCGCGCAGCCCCCTCGTTTCCTGACTTAAAGGGAGTTGCGAAGTTTCTT